GGGGCCCCAAATCCCTTTTTTTTGGGGGGTTGGGGGCCCGGGTTTTACCCCCGGGGGGAGAAAAAAAAGGGGTGCCCCCCCCCCCCCCCCCCCCCCCCCCGTTTTTTTTTTCCAGGTTAAGACTGATGCCGGCGCCGACCTGACCTTCGTCGACACTCCCGGCCACGCGGCCTTCAGCGAGATGAGGGTCCGCGGGGCGAACGCTACTGACATCGTGGTGCTCGTCGTGGCTGCCGACGACGGCGTGATGGAGCAGACGAAGGAGTCCATCGCCACGGCACGGATGGCGGACGTGCCTATCGTCGTCGCCATCAACAAGGCATGTATTGCTGTTGCTGTTTTTGTTTTTTATGTGTCTCTGTCCGTGGGTTGTTGTCGAGGTGTTTGATTATGTTTTTTTTTTTTTCTTAATATGACACAACGAATCCATCTCTGTCATAGAAAAGAGTCAGAGACAGATTAGCAATGAATTCATAGCGTCAGAAAAAGCTACCTGTATGTCTACAATTTCCCAGACAGCATATAGGGACATCTCCCCTGCGGGTAACAGGCTCAACAAAACAGTGTGGTAGCTGTCTTGTGTGTCTCATATATGTTATGTTGGGAAGGTGTAGCAGAAAGGTGTTGGTTTTTTTATAGTCCCTTCTCTTTTTTTTTTTTCTCTTGAGTCCCAGCACGACAAGTGCAGTTGGGCATCCAAGGAAAGACAGTGGCATTCAAGTTGAAGAAGTACCGTGGCGCTCGGTGACGCAACGCCAGCAGTAGCGCCAGTGACTGTACTGATACGCGCTTTTTTTTACAGTACCGTTGTTGTGTTGATGCCTCATGTAGAAGTAAACAACATATTGGGAGGGAACGCTATTCCTCGTGAGGTAGGTGCTTTACTGCTGTCGACGTACTCACATGTACAGCAGGCGAGAAAGGAAGCCAGGGGTTGACTCAAAGTGCTGCCTTATCATTGTACGGGATGCTTGCTGCCGCTGCTGTGGTTGTCGTCGTGGTACTCGCGCAAAACCAGATCTGACTTGTTCGATTCAGCACACCTCGTACAGCGGTTCCTTTGATCTTGGAATTTCCGTGTTGACAAGGAAGCAAGTTTCGGTGTTCACACCAAGACAAGAAAGTCAAGATATCCGATCTCAACTCAACGCCCCCGACACAAACCTTAACCTTGTGTGTTAACGTAAACAGGTAGACAAGGAGGGTGCGGACGTCCAGAAGGTACAGAACGAGCTCATGACCTTCGACCTACTTCCGGAGGAGTTCGGTGGGGACACGCAGGTGGCGATGGTCTCCGCCAAGCAGAAGAGCGGCCTCGACGAGCTCCTGGAGAAGATCCTTCTTCAGTCGGAGGTGTTGGAGCTCAAGTCCAACCCGGACCGTTCCGCGGAAGGGGTCATCATAGAGGCGCGCATGGAGAGGGGGCTCGGTACGTGGGTCGTGGGGCTTTTGTGGCGACGGTTTTTGTGAAGTTGTGGGTGATTACGCTGATGCTTGGCCTTGGTGTGTGTTGGTTTATTCTAGTGTTCTATGTAGTTATGGTCTTGATGTTGTTCTATGTAGTCATGGTCTTGATGTTGTTCTATGTAGTCATGGTCTTGATGTTGTTCTATGTAGTCATGGTCTCGATGTTGTTCTATGTAGTTATGGTCTTGATGTTGTTCTGGACGGCGAATGCGTGTGACGAAATGTTGGGGATGATTTTGACGATGTTGGTGGTTTGTGGCGATGATTATGGTGTTGGTGGTGATGTTGATGGTGATGCAGATGATGATGTTGGTGCTGGTGTTGTTGATGATGACGTTTTCCATGGCGGTGGCACGGCGCATGGCAGGCACCGTCGGTACGGTCCTCATCCAGCGGGGAACCCTCCGCGTGGGAGACATCTTCGTCGCTGGAGGGGCGTGGGGAAGGGTGAAAGCTCTCATCGACCACCAGGGTCGGAGGATCAAGGAGGCGGGACCGTCGACCCCAGTACAGGTGCGTTCAACTCGACATGCTTGCTTGCAACTGGCTTGTGTTGACCAATGATGTAGGTGCGTTTGAAGCACCGTTCTTACGTTATACAACAACAGTATACGTGCGTTCAACGTGTTGTTGCTGTCTTCAAGGTCCAGGTTCGCTGAACAAGAATTGTACAATTTAACGTTGTATGCAAAGTGGCAGTGGGCGATTTCATTGGTACCTTGAACTGACGGGATGGGAATTCATGTCATGTTGGCAACCTCAGTTGCTACATGTACCGTTCCGCGAGCACTGATTCGATGCTGTAGTTTTCACGTCTTGGTGCGTATAGCAAGGGTAACATTTCGTTCTTTATGGTTTCGTTCAACTTTGATTGAAGTTCACTTGTGAGTTTTTCTCTGATAGTTTGACATTTGCCCCACTTAGGTTGGAGGGTTCGACGGAGTGCCCGATGCCGGAGACGTGTTCACGGTGGTGGACCGGGAGGACATTGCCAGGGATCTCGCGGAGGCGCGGCGAAAGATTGCCAGAGAATCGTCGGCGGCTATCCTTCAGGCAAGTTAACAATGGTTTTGCGGCGTACGGGCGGCACCTTGCATGCCCGTGCCGGGATTATGTGTCAGATCGGTGCAATACTGCTGCTGTCGTTCTCTTCGTCCTTATCGTCGTTGTTGTTGTTGTTGTTGCTGTTGCTGCTGTTGCTGTTGCTGTTGCTGTTGCTATTGCTATTGCTGGTGCTGGTGCTGGTGCTGTTGTTGTTGCTATTGCTGCTGCTGTTGCTGTTGCTGTTGTTGTTGCTGTTGTTGTTGTTGCTGCTGCTTGGATCCTCTGGTCGCCATCCTAGCTCGGCGTACCCAGTTCTCTGATGGAGTACGGAAATCGTGCCCAGCATGGATCAGCTGCTCCACTCGACTTGTTTTTTCCCTCCGATGCTGCACCTGATTCAAAGCCGTGCGCTACCACCTCTGTGTTCGGTGCTGTAGCGAATGTGTTCGTTCAAGCGCGAGGCCATTGCTCCCAGGTGGTATGTAACTCATTCGGAGTCACCCTCAATGAAAGGTAGCAGTACCTATTTTACCGTAGCCCCGGTCCAGGAGTAAGAAATAATCGAAGACGGAGACAAGAGAAAACTGTTTCGAGGATGTGGACGAAGCACGCCACCTTGCAGCCCTCCGCATCTCAAAACGTTTTGAAGAGCAGCATGACATGGTCTAACCATCTTTTTATTTCGCCCTTTCCTAACTTGCAGGGAGGATTGAAAAACTACATGCTGTCTCCCTTAAGCGGCGACGTTGACATGTACTATCCATGTTTTTATTCTATGCCGTTTCTAACGTACCGCTGTGTGCAGGGAGGGTTGAAGAACGACATGCTGTCCATCTTGAGCGGCGAGGCTGACGAAGGCAAGGAGCTGTTCGAGTTACCCGTGATGATCAAGGCTGACGTGCAGGGGTCGGAGCAGGCGCTGCAGACGGCTCTCAGGTGGGAGGCGTGATTATGACCCGGTCTTGGTATGGTATGTTATTTGCTCGGGAGAAGCGCGTGTCGTGTGTACCACCTCCCCTGTCTGTGTGGCCCCTTCTTTGCCTCTTTAACGGCCGGAAAGGGACTGATAGAATGACGTAGACAGCAGTGCGTGCCAGACGGGAAATGGGGACAGAAAATGCGATGAGTTGAGAGCTATACTTGGAACGATGATAGAAACCACACGTTTGAGTTTCCTGGAACTCGATTCGATGTGTCGTTTGTATGCACGCTTTAAACCGTAGTTCGTCGACATGAATGACTCACCTCACTCGCTTCGGCTGACGACACCTTGTTCCGCACGCGCGCGAAAAAATATCAATAAAAAATGAAGTGAAATGATCTCCGAGGACGAGTACTTCAAGGCCAAGTGTAAGCTCCTCCCATCCGGGGTGGGCGAGATCACGAAGAGCGACGTGGCCATCGCCGGGGTCAGCAACGCCTTCGTCGTTGGGTTCAATGTCGGGGCTGACCAGGAGGCCACGAGAGAGGCTAGGGCGAACGGCATCGACATCGGGTACTACAGCGTCGTGTACAACGTCATGGATGACATCCAGGCCAAGTGAGTTAGTTTTTTTTTTTTTGTGGCATATTGTCGAGGGTTGGGTGGCCGACTGCGGTGTGTTCGCCACGCGAACGCACGTGTGTCTGTGTGCGTTTTTTTAGCTGGCGTACAGTAGCACCACGCTAAACGGCTGACCAATTAAAAGGCCTCAGTGAGTCTTGTACATCGTGGGATAAAAAACACGAACACTTTCTAATCAAAGAATAAAGGTTCTACTGACAGGCTCTTTGTGTGTTGTGTATGTGTGGGGTCTCGTAGATTGAGCAGCCGGTGTTGTTTCGTTTTCAAGGAGTGATCATGGCCTAAAGCATTCGTGTGCGACCTCATCCATGGACACACACACGCCAAGCTACGAGCTTATTGGCCATGACGTGTTTGTCATGAGCGCCGATTTGTGCACCGCTCTCTGCGTATTTCGTACCAGAAGAGCACATTCGTATCATAGCTCCGATAGTCAGATATGTTTTCCTTTTCGTCTGCTGCCGACGAGGGGAACAATGCTTTTGGAGGGTCGTTCGTCTCATTTCGAGTGAGTGCTGACCACCCGCCACCGCACACGACACGCTTCGGTTCTAAACAAGAAACGCCTGATTCGCCGCACAGGTTGGACGAGCTGGTGTCCCCTACCCCCGACGGGGAGTACACGGGTAGGGCCGTCGTCAAGGTCATCTTTAACATCGGAAAGGTGAGCCTGGCCTAGCCTAGCCGACGGGCCGACAAAGAACTAGAACAGTGAATGATTGGTCAATGAATTTCCGGCGGCTGTGTGGACCTTCGAAAATTTTGGGGCGATCGGAGCTACGCGTTGATGTATCGCTGACACGAAAATCAGAACCATCAGTTGCGTGTACCCGTTGTGGCGTGTACCCGTGTGGCGTCGCGCTTTGCCGATCGCGATTTGCGAATCGCGCATTGCCAATCGCGCATTGCCAACCTAAATAGTTTACGAGTCTCGTGTGTGTGATTCGCGTTGCTGCGAAGGGTTGACTCATCTCTCCTTAATCAACTTCGCAAGACGGTGTGTGTTGTGTAACGGTATGTGCGCCCTGACGATATTCAACAGCGGGATATGCTTCGTACTGGTACATAGCTTGGAAACTTTTGTCTCTTGTGCCCAAGATTGTTCTTGACAGTTTATTTTGTGTGTTTTATAAGCGCGGTCGATGCTAATTAACAAACATGAACACACGCACGCACAGGTGGGCAACATCGCGGGTAGCTCGGTGGAGGACGGCGTTATCAACAAGGGGGGTAACGTGCTGGTGAAGCGATTGGGTCGCATCGTGCACGAGGGGAAGCTGAAGACGCTCAAGAACCTCAAGGTTGACGCGGACAAGATGGTCATGGGGACGGAGTGTGGTATCCAGGTGCGTGCGCGTTGCTTGCTTGCTGCTGTTGGCGCTGTCTTTGATTTGTTTTCTCGCGCCTGACTTTTTCTGTGCTGACAAGGTTGTTGCTGATGTTGCTGTGGCGACAGACAAAACACGTGTTTCCCTTTGCCTTGCTGTGGTAGTTTTTGTTTTGTCCTATCAAGTGTGCCGTCCTGGTGAAAGGCCTGGGTGAATGCTCCGTTCACCACTTCCCCCGTTTTGGTGGTGTCGTGTCGATGCTCCTAATCACCCCCTCCTACCTCCTTCGAAACCCCAGGTCTGCCTCTGAATGGCTGACGGCACCTTGTTTTCTTTTTGAGATTTTGTATCGGTCTATGTTGAGAGGAAAGCGTGCATTCTTCTGTCCCTCTCATCTCTTGTTCCACATACGTATATGCGCATGCGAGAGCACTCATTCGCTTCCATAATACTCGACATTCCTGGTCGTGACGCAAAATTTTCGGTAGTTCTCTCTTGAGACGGCCCTTCCTTTTGTGAGCGCGCTGGCAGAAAGGACAAGGGCTTCAGTTGAGGCCGGGGCTACCCCCGGGCTATTCTGTTGTACATATCACTCTGTGTTAAGAGCGCTTGTAGTCCCGCACAGAACGTAGGGACGGTATGCCATTTGACTTGTCTTATCTAGATATGTGGTATGGTATATACACTCGCTGATGCTGATGCTTACGCTTATGCTTGTGCTTGGTGTCGACTTACGTGACCTGCGGCATAATCAATCCAGGTGGAGGGCTTCGAAGACTTCCAGGAAGGCGACTTGATCGAGTGCTACAAGATGGACTAACTGGTTTGTTAGCAGCGACCTTCGTTACGGGCGATAGTGCAGAGAAGGAGAGAAGCCACCGGACAGCGGGAGGATGGATGTAGAGGAAAGAAATCGTGGCGGGAGAGGGTGGCTCGCCTACCAGTTGCTGTCTGATGACTTGGCTGGAAGGCCAAGTAGTAGTAAGGCTTTGATTTCTGATATTTCTCGTTCCCGAAGACGCGACCTGTGTCTCGTGGTATTTGTGCGAGGGTTTGTTTGTGGTGAAGCGACCAGGCAGGGGAGGTTGCGGAAGCCGCTTGCTTGCCCCTCCCTTTGGTCTCGGCTGCCGCTTTTTCGTTTCTGCCTCCCTTGCGTTTTTGGTTCCGTTGACGCTCCGCCCATGTGTCGTTGGTTGCCGATTATTTAGTCGGGTCGGGTCGACCGTGGACCGTGGACCGTGTCCGTTCTGTTTTCCCTGTCCCTTGGAAGGCGTGTGCCTGATGCTGATGTTTCGTGGATGGCGGAAAGCATTCCCAGCTTTCGGTGCGGTGCGGTGCGGAAACATGCTTTGCGTGTGATTTTGTATGTGACTTTTTCTCTCCGATAAACTTAGATGCTTCAGGGAATGGCAAGCATGCCACAACCATCATGGGTACTGCTGCCCTGTTACGCCTGGAAATAGGACACGTAGAGCCATGAAAGTGCGGCTCGACGCACGAATCTTGTGCGGTCGGTGTTGTCTGCGAAACTTTGTTTCCGTACAGTCTAAGGTAGTGGCAAGCACAGCGCCGAAGGAAATGGTACGGCAGGCTCTCTGAGCGTCAATCATAACACAGATTTAGATTATCGTACGAGCTGTACCTCCCCAACGCGATGGTCGGGTTTTATTTCAATCATCTCTTCGTCTTCATGTCGTGACGTCGTGAGATAGAGCGGTTGCGCTGCCGTCCATCCTTATCGATTAACGGTGGTCTCAATGCAGAGCGGCAAGTCGGTCGGTACATTCTTTTGGATTTTAGGGTTAGGCCGGGCAAGGTAGGTGTGGCAGCATCAAAGCCAGTTAACCGGAACATGGCGATTAGAATAGATGATATGAGCAGCTGGTGACTAAGATTGAATCGGGTCGAGCCATTCGTTCGTTGTCCGAGGCTCGCAAACCAAATGAAAACTGTGTAGCAAACTACGCCGCACACCAACGAATACATTGAAATTTAGGGGCACACAACACCGAGAAGGACCAGTCTACACTGCGAATCCTCAAGGGTGGCGTTGCAGTCGTTTCAGCAGCAGCATTTCCCCGTGTCTTGGACACAAAAACATGTGACGGCGGAAGGAGGTCGACATGTCGGAAGAGCAAGCTAGCCCATGAAGAGGTCAAGTGGGACATGACTATACTGTTGTGGTGCAAAAAAACAAAAATCTCGTACGTGCGCGTGAAGCGAACGAGTTGGCGTTTGGTTTCATGAGGCACCCTCTGCTCTCGGTGCTTTCCATAAGAGGTGATTCGTTCCTGACACAAAAACACGCCTCCTGCCGTCAACAGTATGGTCCGGCGTGTATTGTGATCAAGACCAGAGCAGCAGTAGGAATGTTTACTGTCGAGTGCTCTACGCCTAACCCCACGCACCGTCCACATCTTGGACTAGGTCAACCATGGGTTTGTTTGTGATGCACACTTTTCGCTCCCCCCCCCCCCCCCCCCCAATGGGGGAACGAAACTCCCCTCCCAAGAACGGGGAAAGC